CATTTCTAAAACTTAAATCATTTTTTTATATTCCTACCAAATCTTCAGAATAACCTATGGAAAGAAATCCTTAGTTTAAAAAAAATGCATGTTGATCCATGAATATGATGTATTTTTTCTTTTATTCTAATCTTCTTTTATATCCCATTAGTAGAGTTTTATATTATTCATTTGTTATGCATATTTCTTAAGTTTATTCCTAGCTATTTTACATGTTTTGTTACTTTTATGAAGATCATCTTCTTTGCATCATATTTTCTAATGTGTTTTACTGTCAAGGTGCATTTGTTGATGTAAAGTATGCTTACTCTATACCATTGAGAGATAAAGGCCAGTGATAGGGCAGTATGTGGTGGCATGAACAAATTGTTGGGGTTTTTTTGTTTTTTTTTTTTAAAGATGACCGGTAAGGGGATCTTAACCCTTGACTTGGTGTTGTCAGCACCACGCTCACCCAGTGAGCGAACCGGCCATCCCTATATAGGATCCGAACCCATGGCCTTGGTGTTATCAGCACCGCACTCTACCAAGTGAGCCATGGGCCGGCCCAAACAAATTGTTGTTTAACAAAAATCTATAGCCGATCTCTCTGCATTATTTTTTACAACTGCACGTGTATCTACAATGGTCTCAAAATAAAAAGTTTAATTTCAAAAAGGAAATGAGAAGCCATAAATACCTAAGGTGGACTTGTGTTCAATTATAGAAACAACATTGGGAAGCATACATAACAGATATTAACAGCAGTTATCTCTGGAATATGACATATTATGAAGGAGCTTTAATTTCTCTTTTGAGGGCTGGCTGTTTAGCTCAGTTGGTTGGAGTGGGTGTTATAACACCAAGGTTAAGAGTTCAGATCCCTGTACTGGCCAGCCACTGAAAAAAAAAAAAAAAAGGTACTAAATAAACGTTTTTTTAAAAAGGAGTTAATTTAGGCCGGCCCGTGGCTCACTCGGTAGAGTGCGGTGCGGATAACACCAAGGCCACGGGTTTGGATCCTATATAGGGATGGCCGGTTTGCTCACTGGCTGAGCGTGGTGCTGACAACACCAAGTCAAGGGTTAAGATCCCCTTACTGGTCATCTTTTTAAAAAAAAAAAAGGAGTTAATTTCTCTTTTTTATATATATTTTCTGATGTTCACACAATCAATACATGTTATCTGTATAATAAACACAAATATAAATTAACACAATATATGTTGACCTTTTTTTTTTTTTTTTTTTTTGGTGTTTCACTGGTACAGGAATCCAAACCCTTGACCCTGGTGTTATCAGCACCACGCTGTACCGTGTAAGCTAATCGGCCAGCCCTAGATGTTGACTTTTTTTTTTTTTTTTTAGGGGGATGTACGTAGGCTTTTAAAAGAAAATAAAACAGCTATTTCTTAGCATAAAAAAAGATTATTCTGAAGTGCTAGAGAGCCAATTAGAGCTTCGGTGGGAGTGAAGAATGGGGAGTGAGGGATGGGGGGATGCAGCTGATGACTTATTCTGTTGCCCTCCCCGCACTTGCACAACAACGTGTGCCAAGAACAATTCATCTGATTAACACCCTCACCTCAGGGCTACTAGAGCCCCTTTTGCCTCACCCCTCCTGACCTTTTTCTGTCTCATTCTTCGTCTCTTTCCTTTTTTCTCTCCCCCTGCCTCCTTCCAGCCACCTCTTTTCCTCTCCTTCTCACTTTGTCTGTCTTTGCCTTTCCTTTGTTCTTTCTTTCCTTTTCCTTTTCTTTCTCTCTCCCTTCTCCCACTTTAATTGGCCATAATTGAGAACCAGGTGAATTTATTTGTTGTATCTTTTGAAAATTAAGTTTGTCTTTATTGTTGAAAAATTAGAAAGCACAGATGAAGGAGAAAGAGACAGTAATCCTGTCACCCTTAATCACTAATAATCACAAATAATGTTTTAGTTCTTATTTATTCATATTTTCTGTGCAAACATATCTATATTTGTATTAAAAATGCTATACTATAAATAATATTTTATAATTTTCTTTTAAACCCTATGTCAATATATAAACATCTCTAACTATTAACGTTGCTTAGTACTATATTGTATGGATTACCACAATGTATTAAGACATACACACACAAGGATGTGTTTTACAGGGTTGTTTATAACAGCAAAAAATTGAAAACAAAATGAATGTCCAGCAATTGAAGATTCGCTAAATAGGTTTTTCCAGTTCTAGAAAAAGTACATGCTAAAATGAATCAGGCCAAAATTAAGAGGATGTATTTTGGTCACAATTTTAAAGAAGTAAATTATGCATTTCAGCAACAAGAAAAAGATTGGCTAAATACCATAATGCTTAAAACAGGAATTAATGGCCAAAGGACATTCACACATTTTTAAAGCTTTCTATACCTGTTGCCAAATCGTTCTCCAAAGCGTTTTTACCTATTAACTCTCCTTCCTGCAGTGTATGAGGCTGGCCATTTGCCCAAGTCCTTATAAACACTGGTCTTTGTCATATCTTTTGAATATAGATTCATTTCTCTCATTCTTAATTTTAAAAGCAGATAATCTCATGTTTGATAGTTTGATCTCTTAAAAATACAAATGAATCGTTTTCTACTCATGTGAGGCTGTTGGTAGTTTTCTTTTCTTTGGGTCAGGGCGCCTGATAGAATTAAGATCATCCATCCCTGTTCCACATCTTTTCCTTGCCTCAATCTCTATCAGTCTGTACTCGGACAAGTATCCCTCTCTACCCCATCCCACACTCCATTAGTGCATGTCACAGGCTTTCTGTCTGTCACTAATCTTAGATACTGGATGCAAAGCATGAGTTCAATTATAACTGTTTCATTTCCACTGATATTCTCATCATCATCATTATCATCTATATCTATAATTTACTTTAGAGTTTCCAAAGGGATTTCTTTTTTTTTTAAAAGATGACCGGTAAGGGGATCTTAACCCTTGACTTGGTGTTGTCAGTACCACGCTCAGCCAGTGAGCGAACTGGCCATCCCTATATGGGATCCGAACCCGGGGCCTTGGTGTTATCAGCACCGCACTCTCCCGAGTGAGCCACGGGCCGGCCCTCCAAAGGGATTTCTTATACATCAACTCCTCATGTGAGCCTGGGCTTTAGAGTCAACAGGCCTGGGTTGAAATCCTGGGCTGTTACTTAACTGCTCCGAGATCATTTTCTTCAGCTGTAAAGTGGGGATAATAATACTTCAGAGGGTTGCTGTGAGGGCTAAATAACATGTGTAGAGATACTAGTGCAGTCCTATTACTGACAGACAAAATAAGTAAGACCCAGAGAACTCAAGAAATTTGTACAAATCCTGACCCTAAATCTTATTATCTCTCTTTTTCATTATGAAATATTTCAGGCATAGAGAATTGTATATGGAGACCGGTCCTCTCACTGGTTGAGCGCAGTGCGGGTGCGACACCGAGGGTTGCAATCCCGTTACCGGTCACGAAAAAAGACAAAAAGGAAAAAAAAAAAAAGAGAGAGAATTATATATGAATACCCTGTACCTACCACCTAGCTTAAAAAGAATTACAGAAACAAAATGAAGCCTCCTGTATGTCCTTCCCTGATCCCATTTCCCTTCCTCCTTCCTTCCTCCTTCTCCTTCTCTCCTCCCCAGCCCTCCCAGGTAACTAATATCCTGAATCTGGTGTTTATTATTCCCATTGATGCTTCTATACATCTACTCCATATTTATGTATCTGTGATCAACTTTGATATTGTTCTACATGCTTTTAAATTTTATATAAATGGTAACATACTGTGCATATCATTCTGCAGCTACCTTTTTTTATTCAATAATTTTTGAGATTTAACTATGTTAATATATGTCTTAGTCTGTTTGCACTGCTATGACAAAATACCTGAGACTGGATAATTTATAAAGAACAGAAATTTATTTTCTCACAGTTCTGGAGGCTGAGAAATCCAAGATCAAGGCACTGGCAGGTTCAGTTGTCTGGTGAGGGCTGCTTTCTGCCTCCAAAATGGCACCTCGTTGCTGCATTCTCCAGAGGGAGGAAACATGGCAGAAAACAGAAAGGCAAGAGGCTGCTTTCATAAGGGCCTTAATCCCATTCATGAGGGAAGAAGCCTCATGACCTAATCACTTCTTAAAGCCCATCTAAGTACCATCATATTGGTTTTTTTCTTTTCATTTTTTCAAATTAATTTTTTTCATTATACATGTTTATGGGGTACAGTTTGTTGTTTCAATACATGCATACATTGTATAATGATCTGATCAGAATAGTTAGCATATCTATCACCTAAACACTCATCACTTCTTTGTGGTTATACATTCCAGATCCTCTTTTCTGGCTATCTTGAAATATACAATACGATATTATTAGTTATTATCATCCTAGAGCACCAGAACTTATTCTTCCTGTATAACTGTAACTTTGTAATTTTGTAACTTTCCCTGCCCCTCCCACTCCTATTCCCTGCCCCCCTCCCCTCTCCCTTTCTCTTCCTCTGGTAATCATTATTCTATTCTCTACCTCTCTTTTTCTTCCTCTCTTTATTTTTCTTAATTGACCACTGATAATTGTATATATTTATGGAGTACGATATTTGGGTACATTCATGCCGTGTGCAATGATTATAACAGGGTGCTTAGTATATCCATCACCTCAAACATTTGTCACTTCTTTGTGTTAGGAACATTCAGTATTATCTCAGCTACCTATTCAAAGATACACAGTACATTGTTGTTAACTGTAGTCTCCCTATATTACTGGAGAACGCTAGATCCCATTCTTATCTCTCTACTATGTTGTATCTACTGACCACTCTCTCCCCATCCCACTTCCCCTTCCCCCCACCAGTCTCTAGTAACCGCTATTCTACTCTCTACTTCTAACCATCACAACAAGTTTCAACACCTGAACTTTAGAGGGGACACATTCAAACCATAGCATTACACGAAGTCCCAGTTCATTTATTTTAACCTCAGTTTAGTATTCCCTTATGTTAACAATTTTTCTTTTTTTTTTGGTGGCTGGCTGGTTCAGGGATCGAACCCTAGACCTTGATGTTATCAACATCACATTCTAACCAACTGAACTAACCAGCCAACCCTCCATTTTCTGGACATATCACACATTTATTACCCCTTCTCTTGTTGATAGATATCTAAATTATCTCCAGTTTTATGTTCTGACAAACACTGATGCAATGGACACTCTCATATGTATCTCCTTGTAAACGTGAGTAAGAGCTCCTCTAAGGTAGTAGAATTCTTAGGTCATAAATAGGAGCAGATTCAATTTTACTATATTGTTCCAAACAGTTTTCCAAAGTGTTGTTATTAATACATACTTTCACCAGCAGTTTATAGGAACTCCTATTGCTCCACATCTTCACCAATACTTAGTATTGACAGACTTCAAAATTTTTGACAATCTGATGGGTATGAAATGTTATCTCACTGTGGTTTTAATTTGCATTTATCTGATTACTAGTGAGACTGTATATGTTTTCATATGTTATTGACCATTCCATTTTGCACTTCTGCAAAAACCTATTCACATTCTTTGTACACTTCTACGTTGGTATATTATTATTATTATTATTGATTTGTGGGAGTTCTTATATATTTCAGGTGCTAAACTTTTGTTTGTTATATGTGTGGCAAATATTTTCTCCCTGGCTTTCCTTTTTTTCTTGTTTATAAATTTTTTTTTTTTTTCCTTTTTTTGTCTTTTTTTGTGTCCGGCAACGGATCGCAACCCTCAGTGTCGCGCCCGTACCGGACCGGGACCGGCAACAGGATCGCAACCCTCGGTGTTGCTCCCACACCTCGCTCAGCCAGTGAGCGGGAACCGGTCTGTATGTGGGATCCGAACCCTCGGCGGGAGCGCCACCACGCTTCCCAAGCGGCGCACTGTAGCAGTGCGCCACCGGGCCGGCCCAATATAAATGTTTTTTAACATGAAGAAGTTTTAAAATTTACTGTAGTCAAATGTAGTAATCTTATTCTTTATGGCCGTACGTTTTTTATCATATTACATTGCCTTTCCATGTTTTCCAGACCCAGTTAAGATCTCGTTTCTCACTAAGGCCTGACAGGTCACACTCTTACTCCTTTGCCTGCAGTGTTTGTCATGTTGACATGTGCCTTTCGCTATGGCCGTGATGACTTGGATGTGATTGGTCTGACATTCCGCAAAGATCTATATGTACAGACCCAGCAAGTGGTCCCAGCTGAATCCACCAGCCCCCAGGCAACCCTCACAGTCCTACAGGAGCGACTGCTGCACAAGCTGGGGGACAATGCCTACCCCTTTACCCTGAAGGTACTGACCCCAAGTCCTGGGCAAGGTTTCCAAGAAAGATTAAGAGAAGAAGCTAAGGAAAGAGAACAGAGAAGAGGGGTCCCTATTTCTTCTGTTTGCTGACCTCCTTTTTGGTCCCCCAGATGATTGCCAACCTGCCCTGTTCAGTGACACTGCAGCCTGGTCCTGAAGATGCAGGAAAGGTAAGGTCTGGGTTCTGAGAAAGAGGGATAGACAGTAGTGTCAGGGAAAAGGGACAGAGGAACCAATGAACAAGACTGGAGAAATGGACAACTAAGAGATGGGGTCAGGCATTTTCTATAGCCCCATGAGGAAGGGAGGGACAGTGTCGGAAGTGAGTTCTCTTTGTCCTTGCCCCTTTACAGGCCTGTGGGATTGACTTTGAAGTGAAGAGTTTCTGTGCTGAAAACCTGGAGGAGAAAGTCTCCAAGAAGTATTCTTTGGTCCTCCCCCAAATCCCTGCCTCCAGCCTCTGCCAGGAAACAGATCTTGCTCTCATGACAGAAACAACCCTAATTCTATCCTCTGTAGTACTTTTGCCACTGACTCAGACACCCAGTTCTGAGTCCCCTCTGACTTCTCTTCTTTGCTCTAGGGCAGGGATTGGCAAACTTTTCTGTAAAGGGCCAAAAAAGAAATATTTAAGTTTTGTGGGCCACATAGTCTCTATTGCAACTACTCGAATCTGCCATTGTAGTATGAAAGCAGCCATAGATAGTACATAAATGAATGAGCATGGCTGTGTTCCAATAAAACTTTATTTATGGACACTGAAATTTGAATTTTATATAATATCCACATGTCATAAAATATTATTGGTCTTAGACTTACTTCAACCATTTACAAATGTTATAACCATTCTTAGCTTGTGGGCCAAAAAAAAAAACAGGCAACAGGTCAGATTTGGACAGTGGGCCATAGTTTGCCAAACTTTGGTCTAAATACCTACATTTAGAATTTAGAAGAGTTCTCTGAGAGAGGCCTTCCCCTACCTCTACCCCCAAGCAAGGACTGGGCTATGGGGGTGTTGTAGGAGAGGTCTGTGGGTTCCAAAAGAGATGTTCTGGCTAACCCATTGGCCTCTACTCAGAGACACTGTGCGGCTGGTTGTCCGGAAAGTACAGTTTGCACCCCCAGAGTCAGGCCCTGGCCCCTGCGCCCAGACCATCCGCCGCTTCCTTCTGTCAGCTCAGCCCCTACAACTCCAGGCCTGGATGGACAAGGAGGTTTGTGACCCCACTGCCTGCCCCCTACCCTAGAACCCCCTCGATACCCTTTCTTCACTGATTTCCTACTTGGGTAGGCAGAGATGCGAGCCAGGGTGGCAATAGTGCAAGGGAAACAGGCATTTTAAGTCTTGATCTGGGTGTTCTCCCTCCAGCACTGTGATGTGCCTCTCTTCCTCCTGCTTCAGGTTCACTACCATGGCGAACCCATCTCTGTCAATGTTTCTATCAACAACTGCACCAGCAAAGTCATCAAAAAAATCAAGATTTCAGGTGAGCTTCTTTTGTCATCCCCTGCACCTGGTCCCAAAGCCACAGGTCTCTTTCCAAATCTCTGCCCCACTTACCTGTCTGCATTCATCTAGGCTTTTCCTCCAATACAGACTTGTCAAAATACATATCTCTGTCCATGAACACATCTTACTGCATTATTATATTATGACCACGAATAAGATCACATCTGAGGGCAGTGAGCTGGGGTCTTAAGGATTACTCACTGATTATAATCATGTGCTTTTCCTGACTTGTTCAGTTGACCAGATCACAGATGTTGTCCTGTATTCACTAGACAAGTACACCAAGACTGTGTTCATTCAGGAGTTCACGTAAGCTGGCACTGGGGCTGGTCAGAGAGCCAAGGGGTGGGGTGGTGGAAAGAGGGTCAGGAGGCAGAGGAGGGGGTTGGGAGATGAAGAAGAAGGGGAGTAGCCCTGGAATGAGGAAGGTCAAGGTGAGGACTAAAGTAGAGAGAGGGATTCCCAGGAGAATAGAGAGAAGAGATGCGGCTTACCCACAGGAGGACCATCACAATACTGAGAGAGGGCAGGGGCATAAGGATTTCCCATCAGAGCTAATTCCTCCCACTCTTCAGTTAGACATGTCATCTCTCTTGGATACTACAGCAGGTTCTTGGGATTTGCAAGATACTCTTGGGAGTAAAAGTACACCTAATTGGCGAGCCTAGCTTAAGTTCTTCTCTTGTTCTCCTTTCAAAGGGAGACCGTGGCTGCTAACTCCAGCTTCTCCCAGAGCTTTGCAGTAACCCCACTCCTAGATGCCAGCTGCCAGAAACAGGGTCTGGCACTGGATGGCAAACTCAAGCATGAAGATACCAATCTTGCCTCTAGCACGCTGTAAGCTCAAATACAACTCCCAACCTCCATTTCCTACCCCTAACCCATTCCACATGCTATACATACAGCTTTGAGGTTTCATCTTCAGTAAAGCCCACCTATTGTTTAAAAATGTCTCTAGGCCAGTGTTCAGAGACCGCCCCCCCCCCCCACCAGGCCTGAGGGCCAGAAGCAAGCTAAATAATGTCCATGGGACTAATGGCAGACAGCAAGAAAGGAAAACATAAAGAAGAAAAAAATCTTTATGTTGTACAACATTTCACAGTTCACAAAGGTCCTACGTATCTACTATGTTATATTCGTAAGAATCCCATTAAAGTAGGCTGGATAGGTGTTCTTATACCATTTTACATTTAAGGACCCTGAGGCTCATAGAGAAGAAGGAATTTGTCCAAGTTTGCATAGCTAACAAGCGGCAGAAGTGAACATGATTCTATCACATATCATCTGTCTGTAAACATTGATCTCTACAGTAGCTCTAGAGAGTTGTACAGAAGATAGAAATAGAGTGGAAGACTAGGAGATGAGAAATGGAGAAAAAGGAGAATAAAAAAGGAGAATGATGTTATAGGAATTGATTGAATTCTATGAAGTCTTCATTTGGTCCTATGCCTTCGAAGGTCCTAGTGTTAGATGTGTCTCCCACCAAAAACTATCTGCCACCATCTAACAAGTGTTAATCCCCCACTCCCTCGGCCTTTCCCCATGCCTAATCAAGTACCTATAGACTGCTATTGCTAGAAATACCCTTAGAAATCATCCAAACAGCATTATTTTATAGATAGGGTATCATAGTCCAGAGCAATAAAGAGACTTTCTCAAGATCATACAGTTTTCAGTAACATTTTTCAATCAGCAGGTTTTTATTGAGCACCTGTTGCATGCTCATTCATTCCTATGCTAAGCAATGTGGAGGATACAAAGTTTAAGACAGTCTCTGCCATCAATTTATGGCCTAAATGAGGAAAAAAGAGGAATGCAAATTCAATCTAACAGTTAAATGTTAGTTCGTATGGTTCAGATTACAAATCAGTAGAAATTAAAAGAAGCCAGCACAGCTGGCAAGGGTTTCCTGAAGAAAATAGACTGAGCTAGATATTGAAGAATGTGTAGGATCTGGATATCAACAGAGAAAGAAAGAGCATTCCAGACCGGGAAGAAAACACGAGCAAAGGCTAGAAGGTGGGAATCCACATGGCATGCTCTGTGCACGGAGATAGGATGGGCCCACTTAGATTGTATCCCAGGTGTTAGGCAGTTAGGGCAGAAAAGATTAGAGAGGCTAGTTGGGGCCAGATTGCTAAGTGTCTTGAAAATCAGGCAGAGTAGTTATATTGCATAAGGTATGCTCTTGTGCAGAGGGTGACATGATAAAACTGAATTTTAGGCAGAGAAATGTGGTCCCAATGGGTAGGAGAG